AAAAAAAAAAAAAAATTATAACCATAATTTTTTATTAATTTTTTTGAGACAGAATCTCTTTATGTTGCCCTCAGTAAAGTGCTGTGGTGTCACAGCTCACAGCAACCTCTAAGTCTTGGACTTAGTGATTCTTATGCCTCAGCCACCAAAGTAGCTGGGACTAAGGTGCCAGCCACAATGCCTGGCTATTTTTTTGTTGCAGTTCTCATTGTTGTTTAGCAGGCCTGGGCTAGGTTCGACCTGCCTGCCTCTATATGTGGCTGGCACCCTAACCACTGAACTACTGGCATCTAACCTATAACTGTAATTTTGTTTTTTATTCAAAACCATGCAAGCAAGGCATTTTTGGAAAGATTCCTTAATATTGATAAATTCTCTTTTGCTTAAAGGTGGGATATGAGCCTCTTCCTCCTACAGTAGGACGAAATATTTTTGGGCGGCAAGTGTGTCAGCTTCCTGGTCTCTTTTGTTATGGTAAGTATCTGGTTTATTTAGGATTAGATAACACTGAGGATTGTGATAGGAGTTTTTACTGAAAGAGAATATCTAGAAGGCGTTTTTCTTTTAAAATTTCTGTGTTTATTTCTTGGAACTTAAATATGCCACTTGTGTTCTTAGCTCAGCATATTGCCAGCATCGATGGGAAGCGTGGTTTATTCACAGGCTTAACTCCACGACTGTGTTCAGGAGTCCTTGGGACTGTGGTCCATGGTAAAGTGTTACAGGTAAGAGGAAAATCAATTCATCTTCCTGTAGATTTTGCTTACCTCTTTTTTTTTTTTTTTTTGAGACAGTTTCACTCTGTCACTCTCCATAGAGTGCTGTGGCGTCACAGCTCACAACAACCTCCAACTCTTGGGCTTAACTGATTCTCTTGCCTCAGCCTCCTGAGTAGCTCGGATTACAGGCACCTGCCACAATGCTTGGCTGTTTTTTGTTGCAGTTCGGCCGAGGCTGGGTTCAAACCTGCCACCCTTGGTATATGGGGCTGATGCCCTACCCAGTGAGCCACAGGCACCACCGATTTTGCTTACCTTTTATGCACAGTTTCTTTTACTGATCTAGAACAATTTCAAAGATATTTATAACCCTGGCCTTTTTTTCCTCTTGAAAAACGTTTTCTTAAAATACCTATTTTTTTCTGGGAAGCAAAGGGATGAATTTGTACAGAGTGGAGTAAATGATTTGATCTGTGTGACTTTCCTCAGAACCGATTATTCTGAGAAATTAAATGCATTTACTTATTTGATCCCCTATATAGCTGAGTTTATTTCTTTGAAGGAAAAAGGAATCTGGCAAAGTCATACATCTTTTTCCTGAAGTAATTTTACCCTTACTTCTAGGGTTACTCTAGTATAATGTTTTCTTTTTTTTTTTTTTTTTT